TTCGATGTATTTTATACCATTAGAACCGTCTCATCAAGACGAATCGAATGGTGGTAAGATCGTCTCTTTAGGATCAATATTGGCAGAGTTATTACACAAAAACCATTAATATTTTTTTAATTTCAGAAATTAATCTAGTGATTGGAATTCGATGTATTTTATACCATTAGAACCGTCTCATCAAGACGAATCGAATGGCGGTAAGATCATCTCTTTACGATTATATTGGCGGAGTTACGATACAATAAAGTGTTGAGTATAATTTTGGCTAAAATTATATTAATTTTTGGCTGGAATTATGATATACTAATATAAGAAATTTTTTATATAGTCACATCTCTTTATAATCACCAAATATGGACTGTCTCAGATGTGTGACTATAAAGAGAGTTGACTGTATTGTAGGGAGTGGGATAGAAGTTAAAGAGTGTAAAGTTTTAGCGTCGTGCCGTCATGGGTACCATTTTCTCATAGTATGGCTATCATTGTACGATATTGTGCAAAAATTCTATATGCCATTTTGCTATAGGTAAAATATAACTAATTATAAAAGAACATATAAACAAAAAATGATTGGCATATAATTATATGTTTACTGTATAATCAGGTAAAATTATTTGCCGAATGGATGTATATTGCAGGGATTATTAAAGATTTTCAACATATAATTTTTATTATAATTATTTTTTTTGCGCACTGTAGCTCTTGACTCTTGGTTTTTTACAAAATCATATAAATGAGGATATTCATAAAGATTTGAGTTTTAACTTTGAACATAATGAATAAATTTATTTTAAAGATTGAATCTGCTAAAGCATCAAATAAATCAAAATCATTTGTATTACCTTTTTCAATATAACTTTTAAAGAGTTTAATATATAATAGTTGACGTAATATTAGAATACTAGGAAAACACAAATCAAAAACAACATTGGCACATGCTTTAGCAAATTCATGATTATAAGATCCACCAAGATGAAATACACTTAAAGAAAGATAAAGCCAACAATTCATCCATTTTTGAAAAACTTTCAGTAATTTTTTTTGCTGTAAGTTCCAAATTTTCAATTAATTTCTCTATTTATTATTCTATTAATACTTCTGTTACTTTTAATAACTCTTCACTAAAAAAATCATGTATATTTTTAGCAATGAATAGGAGTTCTTTAATTTATCTTGTAACTGCTTCTAGCATTCCATGAGCACGATGGTGAGGTAACTGGCCATATTCATTATGCAGGACTCCACTTACTTATAAGATAGGTAACCTAAGGTTGCTTGCCGAAACCTAGGGGTTTAGGCAAGATGACGTTTCGCCGAAAAGCAAAATTCTGCCGAAACTATATTAAAGTTATATTAAAAAACTGGCGAAACTTTGGAGAAAGGCAAAACTGCCGAAACTTATTATAAATGCCAAAACTGCCGAAACTCTGCCGAAACTATAATAAATCTATAGTAAAATTTTGACGAAACTAATCGTAGGATTTTGAAGAGGTTTAGACAAGCAACTTTAAGGTCACCCAGGCCTAAGGTAAAAATCATATATAAAATTCTTTACAAATCCTACTATAAAAGGAAATTTTATGTTACATTGTTATGATTTTTTCCTTTTTAGCTAATTAACCAATAGAATTTAAGAAAAAAGTAAAGTAAAAACTATTAGTAAAGGGCTAATTTTTTATAGTGACCTTTATTATAAGTAAGCGGAGTCCTCATTATGCTTAATTAAAATCCTAAGTTGAGAATCAATCCCATTTAAAAAAGTTACCACTGGTTTATAAAATTCCTTCCCAAATTTCACAAGAAATTCATTCAATTATACTTGAAATAATTTCTATTTATCTAAATATGATTTAGATGTATTTTCCAATGCACATAATTTTGGAATAAATCATTTTACAAATTGTTAGTAAGCTTCTTTACATTCAAGATATTGTTTAGTTCATATAACCAACGTAATCACATTGAGTTTTGATATTGATTCATATTAAAGTTAAAATATAATTCATAAAGATTATAAATCATTTCAGCTTTTATTCCATCTTTATTAGTTTTATCATATCCACTATGAAGTTTTCATGTCAAATAAAGTAAGTTGTAAGGATAAAGTTGTTTATTAAATCCTATAGTGGAAGTCAATTTTCCAAATGCAGTATTTTCAAAAGTGGTAAGAATAATATGAGCAACATGAAGACCACAAGAAATTCAAAAGCATTAATTTTCAGCCATTTTAGTAAAAAGGTTAACTGCACCATTATTTTTTTCTACCATATAATTTGTATTATCTGAAAGAAATGTTTGGCATAATTTTATATTAATTGAGTATTTATTACAAGTATTCATGATTGTTTGAGCAATTGTTTTTGCATTGCATATAAAGCTTCTAACAGTTTGGACTAAACCGGAGAACCGATCCAAACCCGGCTCAAAATTCGGTTCAGTTTAGTTTGGGTATTTGAACTGAAAAACTGGCAGTTCAGTTCGGTTTAATCTAATTTTTTATAAAAATGCAAAAAATTGAATAGCTGTCCATCTAGTAATCGTACAAAGTCGTGCCATATATTATTGGATTCGTCTTGACGAGACACGTTTAATGGTGGTAAGATAATGTCTCTAGCATCAATAGATCACACATTAACTTACGCTAAATGATTTATCAATAATTGGAATTATCAAGCTATCTATTGATGCTAGAGACATGATCTTAGCGTCATTCGATGCGTCTCAGTGAGACAAATCCAATGAATATAAATTCGTCTGTATATGATTACTGGATGGCAAATAATGTCAAGTTTCGCATTTTTTTAAAATTTTTAAGCGTTAAAAATTAAAAATTCCGATACATGAATTTATTCACCATCCAATAGTCATACAAATATGAATTAGGACTCATTGGATTCGCCTCGATGAGACGAGTCGAATGGTAGTAAGAACATGTCTCTAGCATTGATAGATAGCTTGATAATGCCAATTTTTTATAAATTATTTAGCGTGAATTAACTTATGATATATTGATACTAGAGAAATGATCTCACCACCATTCGACTCGTCTCATCGAGACGAATCCAATGAGTCCTAATTCATATTTGCATGACCATTGGACAACAAATAAATTCATATATTGGAATTTTTAATTTTTAATGCTCAAAAATTTTAAAAAAATGCGAAACTTGACATTATTCACCATCCAGTAGTCATATACAGACGAATTTATATTCATTGGATTCGTCTCACTGAGGCGCATCAAATGACACTAAGATCATGTCTCTAGCATTAATAGATAGCTTGATAATTCCAATTATTGATAAATCATTTAGCGTAGATTAACGTGTGATCTATTAATGCTAGAGATATGATCTTACTACCATTCAACGTGTCTCATTGAAATGAATCCAATGATATATGGCTTGACTTTGTACGATCACTAGATGGACGGCTATTCAATTTTTTGCATTTTTATAAAAATCAGATTAAACTGAACCGAACTGCCAGTTTTTCGGTTTTGTTCTTACAGATTTTGGCTTTAATCTGAACTGTCTATAATCCAGATCAAACTGACCTATTCAGAGCTTTAATTGCATATAATCAAATCCTTCATTTCAACTAATGAAATATCTAAAGAGTTCTTTTTCTCATTCCAATACATAAAGCAAATTACAAAACTTTTGTAGAGTCTCTTGTCAACTTATCAGCTAAAATACCAAGATTATAGAATTCTGAATTATTGCAGTGCATAAATTCATTTGTTATTGTTAACTTTAAGATTTCCTTATTCCAGCATATAACTAAGTTCAAAGAAAATATTGTAGATACAGATTTATTAGTTAAATATTCTGTAAAAATTCGCATATAATGTATAGTATCATGAAAAGACATTTTTCCTATTTGAAATAAGCATATAGTCAATACTATTGCTTTACTACTATAATGCTTTTTGTTATCAAGAAAAAGTGAATTAGGATATGATTTAATTAAATTGCAAAAAAAAGATTTTTTTCTTCTTGCATTAGCACGGACTTTTGAAATCTGATTATTTTGTTTCTTTCTTACATGTTCAAGTTTGCTACCAAGTGATTTTATTTGATGAAGTACATCTAAATTCTTTTTTTTTAATTGTTGAACTTGTTTTTTTAAAGAAGCATTTTCCTTAGTTAATGCTGCAGCAGAGGAGTTAGGTTTATAAATAGAAGATTCTATAAATTCAGCTGCTTTATTTTGCAAATGTGCAAATAGAATCTGGCCTTGTCTTTTGCCTTTTGAATAGCACATATTTCTTATAAGGTGATTAGTTAATTTAATTTCTGTTTCTGAAAATATGTCAATTGTTGTATAAAAAACATGCCATTCTTTTGTCATTTCTGAATCATTAAGTCTTATTACCATTTTTAAAGTATCATCAAGTTTTGATTCATCCATATTATTTACAATTTCATTAATTTTATTTCTTTTATTATTTTTTTTCTCATGTAACTTTTGAGCTTAGATTTCACATGCTTTTTTTAAGTGGCGAGCTTGCTTTAAAATGCAAGGCATTTTTATATTAAATTATCTGAAATCTTCAAAATTTAATAACTCGCACATTATTAAAAAAATGTTTTTTTATTTAGTACAAAAGTTAAAGAAGTTTAAGTTACTATTTCCAAATAATACCAATTATTTTTTTCGAAAAATTGAGGTATTTTATGAAAGAGAAAGATATTTAAGGTAAGTTTAAAAAATTTCAAATGAAAATAAGAAGAAATATTCCTAGTTATAGAATCACGAAAATAGGAAATTAGTAGTAAATTACTTATAAATAAACTTTTACATAATGATCGGCAGAAAAATCTTTGTAAATTTTACTTTAGTTGATGGAACACCCCACTATCACGTGCAAGTGCATAACTCCTAAACTCGGGCCAGTTTGTACGTTAAAATTGTACACCCCTACTGTACATTAAATAAGCTATTTTACATATAATTTGGTAAGATCATTATGGTATTATGGCCAATTTTTTAATTGTATATACAATGCTATATTTATTTTTATAAAACTTATGCTTAAACACATTAAATTTTTTGATAAAAACATTTGAAAAGTATGAAAGATATTCCTTTGAAATTGAACAAATAATATATTTCATAAAATTAAAGTGCTATTGTTGCAAATAGATATAATTTGTTAATTAATAAATAATGATATATTGAGTTTATTTTTCCCTATATTATATATTTATAAGGTTTTACACTTTGAAAGTGGCCGGATAATATTAGGCGCATTGAGATTCAAGTCATGCGGTGAAAGATCTAAATCTTTATGGTCGCACAGAATTATCAGATGACTGGTTTTATATATTTTATTGGGAAAAAGTTTACAATTACTCTTATTTTTATTTCGAGAAACCTTTTTTTTTATTGATATCATACATTTATAAAAGTAGAAATTATAATTTTTTTCATCCAAATCATGTCAGCAGGCGTTTACAAAATCCCGATAATTGACATAGCAGCTTTGCTCGCAAAGATTATAAAAGTATAATTAATTTCTTCATCGAATAAATATCCACCTGTTTAATTCTTTTGAAGGCAGAAAACGGCTACATCATTATGAATATTTTTAACTGCATTTGTTTTGACTTAAATCGACAATGACCTCAAGGAATTCCAACTAGCGTTTTATTGCCTTTGAAAGAATTATCCATTTATTTAAGATTCTATTTGTTTATTTTGACCGGAATCGACAATGACATCAAGGAATTTCAACTAGCGTTTTGTTGCTTTTGTAAAGAATTACTCATGCATAAAGTTCTTTTTTTTTCCTTGTATAAATATAGGAGCTAGGCAATGTTGCGAGAAAGGTTACTGTTGCTATCAAGAATGAGACGTCACTAATTCTTGAGAACCCTAAAATATATTATAGATTTGGGAATTCTCCTTATGATGCTTGTCCCCTTGCTCCTGTCAATTCTGGTAAAGCTGTGGTTTGGGGTGCTTGTAAAACCCCTTATGCGTTCAGAGGAACTGAAGGAGTTATTATGTACCACATCAAAGATAAAGACAAAAGTTTAGCTTTTATGTGGAAAGTCCCATATGCACGTTCAAATGGGTGGTTTATTAAAGTTTATGATGGTTTTATCAGTCCTAGCATAGGTAATAATTCCAATTTTTGTTTTATTAAACTTATCATTATTATATCATTCACAATATTCATCCCCTTTGATTGATCTAGAAATATTTCACGAGATGCGCGACAAATGCTATTTAGGAGGAGACGGTATAATTCACGAAGGCACACTCGACGATGGTTTGTATTATAAGGGATCTATGGGAGGAACTGGAGAGCCTCATCTTGAAGTTGTGTTACAATATTGTAATTCTAAGATTAAAACTGGATAGTGCTGTAATTAAGCATATGCACAAAGTAAATATTTATGTATCTTTAACATGTACGCGGTATAGTTAATATTTCAAAAGTCAAATACATTATTTCTAAGCATAAATTAAAGCTGTTCTTTTATTTTATTATATATAAAAATTAATATCATTACATACTGGATAACTTTACTTGAATTCTTTCGCTTTATTTTTAAATAAAAGTATTCAAATTGCAACATATATAACATATTCCTTTCCGTTGTTCAATAAATGAAGAATCAAAAGAAACATATAGTTTATGTGAAGAATGCAATCAAGTTATACTAATATACATAATCATGAATATTATTGGTGTCACCCTTATGTTTGAACACTATCATTATCTTATCACTACTAAATTTTCGTTATTTCTAAAAAAAAGGGTATTCATTCCTCCGATAATGAAAATGGCAATTAAATACACATTGTACCATACGAAGCATATCTTTGAAATTAAATAAAAAATGACAAAAGAACTTCTTTTATTGATTTCGCTTGTATTTACTACACATCTGATATAATGCTAAAATAAACGTTTGCTTCCGCATACGAATTTATTGGTTATCGACCATCCCAGTTATACTTGCCGCCCATATTAAAATCCATCCCATATCCCAAATAATCTCATTGGTTACTTATCACGTGACGTTACACGAATTTCCAAAAAAAAAGAAATTTTTCTTCCGCACAAAATTAGAAATTAAGATCCGAACAGATTTACGAAAGTTTATATTTTAACTCCGGCCAGAATTACAAATTACAAAGGTTTAAATCCTTATCCTACATACACCAATTTTTAAGAGATTTACCAATCAGATTTTAATGAAATTTATATCATTGGATTCGTCTTAATGCAAGGAATTCAATGGTAATGAAATTGTATTTCTAAAATTAATATTAACTAAGTTATTATAAAAAATGTATTTTATACTATATATTACTATTTAAAAGTAACATGTTAGTAGTAAGTAATATATTGATTATTTTATGTGAATTAATGATTTTAATTATTTTTTTTAGATTAATTAATTTTTGGTTTGTAAATATCTGATATTATTTTATTAAATATTTATGCAATAATAATACTGAATTCATCAAATTATATATTAAAAATAAATAATCAAACTTTTTTTGATGAATTAATAGATAGGTTTGAGTTAATTCAAGTTAAATTGTAATAAAAATATAAAATAATAAATTGAATAAATATATTTTAAAAACTTTTTATATTAAAAGTAACTTATTACTTGCTTTATACATATTATTTTTAATAATACAGTCAGACCTGTCTATAATCACCCCATATATAATCACATCCTGTATATTATCACTTAATTTCAATGCCTTAAAATTTTAAGACTGATATTCACTTTTTATAATCACCATTATATGCTAATCACTATCACCGATATAAAAACAAACTTTAGTTTAAATTATTATAAAATTAACTATATATTATCACATATCACATGATCAAATGTACATTACATCATGGTTGATGAATTTAAATAGAAAATCACGCAACCTTTTATTTTGCTAAATTTAACAATTATCAGAGATTATCTTTTCCTTTTTAATGACAATGATACAAAATATCATTTTTTCTTTATTTTTTTTTTCTTTGTTCTCTTTTACACGTTATAATGACACAAACAAGGAAGGCTATAAGTGACGAAATAAAATATAAAATATATAATTATCAAATTAAAAACCCAAATATATCCCATGAAAATATTGCAATATATTTTAACCGACTTCATAATATAAATATTAAAAGACCAACAATATCTAAGATTTTAAAGGATAGAGAGCGATGGCTTTCTATAACAAATAATACTTCTTCAACTTATAGGCATCGTGAAGTAAAGTATCCTTCACTTGAACAAGCACTTTCTATTTGGGTAAAACAAGCATTATCAAAAAATATGATTTTATCAGATAATATTTTACGAGAAAAAGCTAAAGAATTTGCACAGGATTTAAATATAGCAGAGAATGCTATTGGATTTTCAAATGGTTGGTTAGGTGGATTTAAATCGCGAAATAATTTAAGCAACGAATACATGGAGAATCCAATAGTGAGCCTTTATCTACATTACCAGAATTGCGGGCTGAATTACAAGAATTAATTTCTAAATATGATCCAAATGATGTGTTTAATTTTGATGAAACGGGACTTTTTTATCGCATGACACCTAATCAAACACTTGCATCCAGACCTGTTTCTGGAACAAAGAAAGTAAGATCTTCTTATATTTGTATTAAAATTTATTTATTATTAAATTATATTCAATATGTTTTATTACTATAATAAGATAAAACTAGGATTACGGTACTTTTAGGGTGTAACTCAAATGGAACTGAAAAGATCAAACCACTTGTGATTGGAAATGCGCAAAAACCTCATTGTCTTCATAGAATAAATATAAGTAATTTACCAGTTTCTTATTATTGGAACAAAAAAGCATGGATGACACAAGATATTTTTCGCCATTGGATTAAAATTCTTGAAAATAAATTTCAGGTCCAAAAGAGGCAAGTTTTAATATTATTAAACAATGCATCATCACATTTAGAGCCTAAGAAAAAAGAAGCAAATAATAATGAAGTAAATAATTTACTATTTATTTTGTATATATTTCCATCTATAATTATAATTAATTTTAAAATTAAACTTTAGCTTTACAATTCAGATGAAACTTCAGCTGCAGAATCGTCACATACAGCTAAAAATAAAAAAGGAAAAAAACGGGCAGTATCTAAACCAAAAAAATCTCGTCAACTATTTGATGATTTATCTCAACCATTAGAACTTACAAATATTACTATTAAATATCTTCCGCCTAACACCACTTCTCATTTGCAACCAATGGATCAAGGTGTAATTAATAATTTTAAGGTTAGCAATAAATTTGAATGTTATTTTTTGTTAGAATAATATAGTTATTTTATTTTAATTAATTATCTATCATTTTTTGAAAATATAGGTTAAATATAAACAATATTATTGTCAGCATTTAATAAGAAAATTTGACAATGGGGAAGATATAGGCCAGTAAATAAATTTTTTTTTAACTGATAATTTATGATGTAATTATTAATTAATTAATTTATTTATTTATTTTTTTAAAAAAAATTAAGAAAACTTAATTTACTAGAAGCAATTAATTATTTGTCAGACGCATGGTTAGATGTATCACAAAATACAATTTCAAACTGTTGGGCTAAAGCAGGAATTTTACCATCAGTAAATCATGTCCAAAGAGAAGTTGCATCTGATCAAATCGACATGGAGTTAGATGTTAAATTTGAAGAAATTGAAGAACTTATTGAGATTTTACCTGATATTGGTACACCTTTTTTAGATGATATTGATCATTATATAAAAGAATTGGAAGAACTACCGGTTGAAGAATTTCTAGATGATAAACAAATTATCGAATATGTTACTAAAGATTCTAGTGAGGAAGTTATTAGTGATAGCGAACCTGAACTGGAAATAATTAGCATAAAAGAAGCGGCACAAGGTTTGAAAACCTTTATTACTTTTTTTACCCAGCAATCTGATCATTCAGGTTTTTGTTCTGAAGATTTAAAAATTTTCAACAAATATTCAAAATTAATGAACGTCAAATTATTTGAAAGTAAAAAACAAACTTCTATTGACTCTTTTTTCAATTAATTTGCATGTTAATAAATAAAATATAATGGCATTAATATAATATCTTATTTTCTTTTTGTGATTAATGTTTGTATTTATAAAAAAACTCTATATAATAACCGCGTTGTAATTTTAATATGAATTGTGATTATAGATAGGTTTTCATTATACAATCACACCTACTTATAATCACCAATTTTTGACTGACCGAAAGTGGTGATTATAGACAGGTCTGACTGTATATATTATAAAATACATTTTCATAATAATTTAGTCAATATTAATATTAGAAATATAATTTTACTGCCATTGAATTCCTTGTATCAAGATAAATCCAATGATATAAATTTTATTAAAATCTGATTGGTAAATCTCTTAAAAATTGGGTATATATGATAAGAATTTAAACTAAATTCTGATTGAAATTAATATTAGACTTCAAAACTAAATTGTGCCATTCAGATTTTTATTTTAGTCAAATTTTATGTAATTCTAAATAGAATTATGTGATTGGCATATAAATTTCCTTTTTTAAAATACTTGTAAAATCAAATCCTTCCATTTTTTGTAGGAAGTAAAATTTTCTTTTATGAAAATTTGTGTAATATTATGTAATAATTGACTAATGGGAGAAATATTACACAAGTATTTGGGATTTAAGATGGAATGGAATATGGGATAGGAGGAAAGAGAATGAAAGGGAATAGAAGGAAATTTTAAATGAGTAGCAAGTATAATTCCAGTAGATAAACAGGGTGGTGGAGCTCCGAATGGGTCAGGTTGGGTCAGGTCAACTGATTGAACTGACCTGATACTTTTTTTCAGGTCAGGTCAGGTCAGGTCATTTATGTTGACCTGAACTGACCTGTAACCCGAAAATATTAGGTGTAATATTTAACGGTATTATAATGTTAAATTATTTTTTTTAATTTTTTCACTAATTATATACATTTCTTTAATAATAAACATCATATTAATTATTAAACTTTGTTATATGCATCGTATTTATTAAAATATTAGATTAATAGTTTAATACAAATAAAAATATATGTAATTATTATATTAATTAACAAAATTAAAAAAAAAGTTATTTACGAATTACGATTCTACTTTAACCAATTTTTAAGGCACATACACGCCTGAATACTTTCATGACTTAAACTAGACCGCCTTTTTGTTATTAGATCGCTCCCTCCAGAGAAAACTCTTTCAGCAGGAACGCTTGTACCTATTTATAACAAAAAAAAAATAACAATAAATATGTATTTAATTATTATATTATTAAAAATTTAACAAAAAAAAATTAAATGCTTTCCTGGGATTGCAAGATAATTCCGAGCCATATTTGCAAGTCGTGGATAAATTGTTTCATTTGTCTAATTATTATGTATTGTAATGTAATGTTAATTTAATTGTTGAAATTATTATATATTATAAAGAATTAATACAATTTACCTTCCACCATTGTAAAGGATTGGTTTTAATTGAAGCTGCGGGTTGTTGAAGATATGCTTCAATTTCATTATAATCATTATTACTATTACTTCCAAATATATTAAAGAAAAAATCATTATCATTATTAATAGTGTTTTCACTTTCGTTAATAATATCAATGTTATCTTGATAATTATTTTTGAATGTATCCGTAAAAATTTGTTTTGCCGCGTCAATATAGTGCTGTTCCCATTCCTGTTTCTGATAATAACTTAATTTAAATCGTGGGTCAATAACTATAAAATAAGAATTAATATAAATTATATGATTTAAATATTAAGAAACAAAAAAAAAAAAAGTTGAAAAAATACTTGTTGCAATTGCATAAGTATGCGAATCATCTGTTCTGGAATAGTACGTTTTAAGTTTTTTGTAACCTTTTGTTATAGCAAGACGTACTTCTGAGGATTTACAATAATACTTTTTGTTATTTTCGTCAAGTAGTTTTTCGAGATGTTCAAGAAGAGAATTGTATATTAGAATTGAGGATGATAAAGTCACGAATTGTGAATTTGACATGTATAAAGTCGCATCATAGAACATCTAAAAAATTATAATTAGTTTAATATTAATAATATATTATTACTAATGTAAAATTTAAATGATAAATTGATAATAATAATAAAGCTTACTTTAAATACACAACATAATTCTCTCAGAATATTCCATTCATCTTCTAAAATTAAAAATTCATTTAAATCACGTTCAAGTCCAATAATATCATTAAGAGGCTAATAAAGTACAAGTTTATTAAAACCTTTTTCTTATTTAGTTCACTAATCACTATTGTATATCATATTATTAAAATTGTTTACTTCCTGAAGTTTTATCGCATGTTCTAACATCAAATAGGTTGAGTTCCACCGCGTCCTAACATCCAATATAGGATTAAGAGATATAGTATTTGGATACAAATTACATTGTCAGTTAAATCGTTCTCTTCGTTGTGGAGAAGCGCGAATTTTTATGATGAGTTTTCTTAGTTTAGGAATTACGTGTGCATCTCTACTTCCTTTAGATATTTCTTTTAATATGTCATTCTCGTCTTGAGCCTCTTCAGCTTTGATATTCTTTAAAATTTCTTGACATGTTAAGTTCATTATATGCGCCAAACACCGAACGTGATTCTTCTTGTAATGAAAATCAATATTTTCATTCAAACATGCAACACCAAGTTTTTTAAGAAATGTGTTATTATTTGCTGCATTGTCCGCTGTGATTGTGAGTATCTATATTAAATGTAAATATATTATATAAATTATATTTTAACATTTGATATTAAATAAAGAATTAGAAAATTAAATTTTAACAAATAATAACCTTCGTTAGAATACCAAAATCATCTTTTGTACATTTCAAAAATTCCCTCATCATATTTTCTCCTGTATGGGATCCAGTAAGATAAATAAAATCGAGAAGTACATTTTTAAGATTCCAATCGGAATCTATAAAATGGCATGTTATTTCAAGAAATGAAATAACGTTTGACGAAGTTCAAGCGTCTAAAGTAAAGCATATTTTTCCTACATTATCCTTTTTAATTAAATAAATAGTTAATATTGTATTCAAAATATTAATATACTATAAATAAAAATTTAAATTTTTACTCACTTGCAATTTATGTCGCATATCTGTTTGATAATTCTTATACATATCCAAAATATCAGATCAGACAGTATCTGCTGAAGGGATAGATGCTTTTATGCCACAATATTCCATTAATTGTCTAAATTCAGGATATTCAACGAATGTAAATGGTTGATCGTCAATAGCAACCCAAATTGCTATCCTTTCGTGAAAACCTTCGTTAGTAAATACCTGCAAGAGAAAAAAATTGTAAATGTGGAATATTTGAAAAAATTCAATTATAGCAATTATAAATTATAGATACTTACAATTTGCTTATCATTCTTTTCATTATCGTCACCACTAAAAAACTTTTTCATAAACGCTGCTTGTTTTTTAGAGGAAGGATTGATTTTGTTCATGTGCATTTTGAGGTGTCAGTTCAAATTTCCCGTCGAACTACATGTTCCACCATCCATCTTATATCTTATATGGCTATTAAGTTATTTATAAATTAATATTTCTATAACAGTTTGTAAAAATTTAATTTAAAATTTAGAAATAATAATGCATTACCTGCAATATTTACACTTCGCCCAAGTTATGTTTTTATCATCTGTAAACTTTTCAAAATGTAACCAAACAAAACTCCTTTCCTTTTCGCTTGTGCCTTTTTTCTTCAATTTATGTACTTTATCACTATCGACATCTTCCTCATTTATTAGCACATTCTATTGAATTTTAAACAAAAAATCATCAATATATCATATTTAAAAATAAAACAATTATATTCTGATTAAATATTTTGCGTATATTTCTTAAAAAAATTATAAAAAAAATCTTGTATATTGTACATGCAATTACTAAATATCATCCCCTTATGATAAATAAAAAATTACATAACATAAATTCAACATAAATTCAACACAAATTCAACACAAATTTAACAAATTTAATGAAATTTGGCCAAAATTAATAATTTTTTACCAGAATTATCAACTCAAATTGAATACAAATTGAACATAAATTTCAGTCACAATTTATTTATGTCACATTCGCTGTACGATGTACATAATTTTTTAAAATGCGGATTTCTGTAATTTTATGATATCGTATTCCTGGCTAATCAAAATTAGGCTGATCCTTGCATGTGATTTAATCATTTAATCATGTATGCATTTTTTGTCTTATTTATTTTTGTCTCTTATTTCTTTATTCTTTTGTTTAATATTTTTTAATTTTTTTGTCTTTTTTTTCTATTATTTCTTTAATTATATACAATATATTTACATATATTTCATAATTTATTGCTTTGCAAATATAGAAATATTTGTTTATTAATACTAATTATTTTCATTTTTTTTTACCTCTTTGTTACTTTGTATCGTAATACTAACAACATGTTTATTTTTTTCTTTCAATTTATTTCTTTATTCTTTTGTTCAATTACTTTGCAGGTATAGAAATATTTACTTATTAATACTAATTATTTTAATATTAATGCATTTTTTTTACCTCTTTGTTACTTTATGTTATAATACTAATAATACTATCTACGTTTTCTTTATTCCTTTTTACTTGCACTTTAATACTAATGATAATATCCATGTTTCTTTTACTCCTTTTACTGTTTCTTTAACTCTTTTTACCTTAATACTAACAATAATAACAATATTTCTTTTATCTTTATATCTAATACTAATATTACTATAGCTGTTTCTCTTTTTTTTACGTCTAATAATATTGTTACTCTTTCTTTTTTTTACTTTTATATATTCTGTATATATTAATAAGAGAAAATTTATTCATCGCACGTGCGATGACATCGCTACCCCCATTTTATTTATCACGTGATAAATCCAATTAAAATATAGCACGATTATTGTGTTACAATAAATATAAACAATTTTATAGCTTCGTCGATAGTTTTTTTTTCTAACACTCTTTTTAAATAAAAAAAA